GGGGGGGCGCCAAGCCTGACTTCCTCCGCCCGCAGGCCGACGAGATCGAGAAGATCCTCTGCCACAAGTTCATGCGGTTCATGATGATGAGAGCCGAGAACTTCTTCATCCTGCGCAGGAAGGCCGTGGAGGTGAGGGGCGCCGGGCCGGGCCAGGCTGCTTCCCGCTGGGCCCCGGGCGCCCGCGGCGCGGCAGGGCTGAGCGCTCGCCCCTTCCTCTTCCCCCAGGGCTACGACATCAGCTTCCTGATCACGAACTTCCACACGGAGCAGATGTACAAGCACAAGCTGGTGGACTTCGTGATACACTTCATGGAGGAGATTGACAAGGAGATCAGCGAGATGAAGCTGTCTGTCAACGCCAGGGCTCGCATCGTGGCGGAGGAGTTCCTCAAGAACGTGAGGCTCGAGGGCGGGGCAGTGGGCGCCCGTGGCGCGGGGCAGCGGCATGGTTTTGTAGAGGGCTCGGTGGAGGGGAGCAGAGCGGCCTGCTTGGGCCGTCGGACCCCCCACTGTTAGAAGAAGCCCCTGCGTGGGGGGCTGAGGCTCCCCGTGCAGGGAGCGGTGGTGGGTGCGGCAGCCCCTGCAGGGTGGAGAGTCCTGGGGCAGGCAGCCCGCTGCAGGGAGGCTGGTGACATCCGCCGCAGCCTGTTGGGAGCGAAAGCAGAAGCCGTGGGTTGGAGCGTCTCGGGCAGGCAGCTCGGGCTGGCAGCGGGGGGAGAAAGGATGTCTCTAGCGTGCGGCGCTGTGGGAGGGGCCTCAGTGCCGGCTTCCCACGCCGATTGTTTCCATGCCGCCCTCGTGCGCTTGGGCTGAGGCGGCTCGGCTGTGCAGGCGGAGGGGGGCTGGCAGGACGCCAACCTGGCCCTGCGTGGTGTGTGGCCGGAAAGCAGACCTGCCGCTATTAACGGCCTGTCTCTTCTTGCCCCTACCCAGTTTTAGACCATGGTGCTGGACTCCACGGCTTCACGTTCTCATTCTCTCCTGCGTCTCTGCACAGCCGCCCTGCCAGGCTGGGGGGCCGCAGCCTGGGCCTTGCTCTCGGGAAGAGAGATGAGAAGCAGCCAGATCTTATGGAGCTGTCCAGTGGAATGTACATTGCATTCTCCATCGTCCCCGGGGAAGGGAGGGAGGAGTTAATATTTGAAGCAAACCGTGCTTGTTTGAGACCGTGTCGACTCCATGTTCTTTTTTAAATGACTAATCATTTGCTGTAATGTCTCCGATTCTCCTAGCGGTGGGGGCGCGGGGTTGGAGGGGAGCTTTGGCTGCTATGGCGCTGGACAGCACGAGTGATGCGCGTCTCCTGCCCCGTGGCCGGCAGCTGCCAGCCGCCCTGCCAGCGTCCAGCAGGGCCCCTCTGCAAAGGGGGGTGCCCGCTAGCTGCCAAATGTGGCTCCTTGCCCCTAGTGCTCGGGCCGCAGCTAGGACGCGCCTGGTGCCATCCGCGGGGGTTTGGCCCAGCAGCAGAGGGGCCTGCTTTGCTCTCGGGGCAGGACTGCAGCTCTCTCGGGCTGGGGCTGGGCCCTCCACCTCCCTGCTCCTGGGCAGTGCCTGCTCCAGTCTGCCTGTTCCCTGCGGGGGCGGAGTGGGGAAGGCTGCAGCTTGTCTGCCCTGCTGGAGCTGGGGGTCCGGGCACAGCGGCTGTGGCAGCTGCTGTGCCTGGGCACCCCGGTCGGCAGGCAGGCAGCCCCCTCTCCTTCAACCCACCCCCAGGAACAGGGCATTCCCGGCGCAGCACTTCGTCTCGCCGCTGGCCTTCACCTCCGCTCCCTCTGCCTGTGGTGGAGGGAGCCGGGGCTCTGCCCAGAGCAGGGCCTCCCCTGACGGAGCTGGAATCTGTAACTCTTGGTTCTTTTGCTTTTGCACTTGCTGTAACTTTTCTTACTCTGAAACCTTCCCTATTAAAGCCTTTTTTCATGCCTCCAGGGGCTGCATGCTTCCTCGCCGGGGGTCTGGGGCGTGGGGGTGCCGCTGTGCTGAGAGCAGGGCCTGAGTCACGGCTGTAACCGGCCGCTGGTTTCCCCTGCGGGTGGGACGGCTATAAATAGCTGCGCTCCCTTCCCCGCGGGGGCGCGGGCGCGGGCGCGGGCGCGGGGCAGCTCCCGGGACCCCAGCCCAGCCCCCGGGTCCTGCACCCCCAGCCCTGCAGCGCTCCCTTCTCCCAGGGTCCAGCTGCCCGCTTGCGCCGCCTCGACTTCCACGCTGGCCGTGCCAAGTGTCCTCCCTCGGTCCTGCAGTCTCAGTTCGTGCTCAGCTTCCTTTTTTGGCCGGGACGGACAGCCCTGCACGCTCCCGGGCCTTGGGTGCGGGCTGCAAACCGTGGCTTCAAGAGTTGTTGCTGTCGGGCAACCCCGCGG